GAATATCCTAAGATTTCATTTTGGGAACTTTGGGTATGGATTATTCCTTTTAAAATCACAAGCGAAAAAGCTTATATTATAGAGTTTGAACCTAAATCTGATATGAATTCTTTTGAAATTCATGGCAAGGTCAGATATTTCACCACCTCAAATTGACTGAAATTAGTTATATGTTGAATTCTTGTATGCCACATTGTAAATACCATTGTCGACATGATGCTCTAACATCAATTGCATCTACCCTTCCATGCATGGCTTATCAAACTACAATGTTTTGCCATGTGATGTCATTAGACTTCAAGAAAAAATGGACAAACCTGCAAGATTTGGCTGAATTACCCATGATCTACCCCCTTAACTACATTGGAGTTAATGTCTATTTAGTTGCTGGAAATTCATTGTAAAGGACATCATAATTTCTATTAGTTTAGCCTATTGTGAGCATGCCGGTTGTCAAGTGAAGTTGATTGTGCTAGTGTTCATAATTTTCCCTCCTCTGACCACTTGTTCTTCGTAATATCCAGTAGAGTAGTTTGGTGGTTATTGGCATGTCGTCAATATGAGCATTCACTTATCGCATGGACAGGCAGAGTTTGTATGCTTGGCATGTAAGGGTCATAACTTTTTGGTGACTGGCCAAGGGGGAACTAAAAAGTTCAGGGAAATCATAAGCGGTCTTCAAGTAGCTGGAAAAAAGGTTTCTGTGGTATGTTTCAGTGGTACAGCTGTATAGCATGCACAGTGTACAATCCTGGTGTCACCTCTACTGTGCATTCCTATGATTGATTAAGAATTGCAGATCTGTTATGGGGACAGCTGGTAGAACGATCCATATCAATAGCGCTATCATTGAACATGTCAAAAAAGGCCAATGTCTTGATTTGGGATGAAGCCAGCTCATCAAGTCAGCGAATGCTTAAGTTGGTTAATGTAATACACCATTGTCTGAGTGACTTTCATCATAATCATCCTTTTGGGGAAGGCAAATCATTGGAGTTCCTCTAGTTACGCCCAGTTCTGGTTGGTTATGATGAAGGTATGTTCATGTTCCATTTGCTGATCTATCAAATCGCCATAACACACTGATTCATACTGATTACTGTTCTTTGACAAGAAGAACAGATGCTTCTAAAAGATGATGTTGCTCCCCTCAGATGATGCTTGTAAAAAGAGAGGTAACTATGACATAAAATAATACGTTTGTAACGGTTCTATCATTCATATAAATATAAATTTAGGAATTAAAATTAAAGGCCATGTTCACAACTTAAATACAAAACCTGCATTAAGATCCTTGGTAAAAGTATCTGGAACACTTTTCCCACTTGATTTTCAGGAAATTGTCGACAACATAAGAAAAATACACTGTTGTAAGTAGCAAAATGGATACAGCATTGGGAAGAGTTTGTTTGAGGTTGTCCTCAGTGTCCAGACAGTGTTCCCAAATATCAGGTACACATACTCGGTTTATAGAAAATCCTGTCTTTCTCTTATCAGTCTTTTCCTGCTTGAAACTTAAATTTAGCAAGGAAGATGATGTAATGTAAATTTGAAAGTAGCTGGTGCTTGCTTGAATGCCCTAAGGGCATAGGTTTCAGGAAGTATGCAGTGGTGCACTCCTAAAAAGTTTTAACAAATGTGGCTGGAGATAATGTGATGATTGATAATATGAAATATTTCCTTAGAGAGGTCAAGGGCATTTATGTAGTACAGTCTAATCAAGCAATAACTCCTATTCCCCAAATTTAAGATATTCATAAAAAGGTGAGTGGTGTTTCAGAGTTATTCTACTCGTTGTTGTGCATAGTTATTATCTGCATGGTTATCTAAGTATGGATAATTTTTAAACAGAGAAGGATATTTCAAAAAGTATATTTTCGGTATATACAAGCAACAAGTAGGGTCAGTTATTGAGGTTAGTCCAACATTGCTTTTCCTGCTGTTAACTGTTTGTCCAAACTGAATCTAATTTTGAATTTATTGTTGCTGATTGTATGTCGGATTATTGTTTTGACCATTGCAAGATCTTTCTTGACAAAAGTGGTTTTCTACACAATCCTGATTGACAATGGCTGGCCTAATGCATGAGTATAGGAAATACTGCAGTTTTACTTGCACCAGGGCATGGAAGCCAAGGCACATTGACTGTAGATCAAGCCCCAATTTACTGGAGATAAAAGATGAATTGTGATCTGTGCTCTTCTCTCTCCAATCCAACATGAAAGAATAAAAACTGTTCAACTTTTTCAGCCTAATGTCACTGATGTTTGTTAGTGGACATTTCAAGTTGAACAAGTTGACTATTTCTGCAATGTGCTGAAGGAGTTGATGCGCAGAGCGAATGGGGGCTCCATTGTCAAGCTCTTGGTCTTCCATGGAGGCTATAATGTGATCTCAATAATGAAAGGCTCAGAGCAAGAACGACCCTTGATTTTTCGGCCATTTTTGAAAGTGTTCAGAAGTAGTTGAATTTTGGCATGTGGACTTAGTTTTACTCGATATACACTGTTTTGGTTTTTTTTCGCTGGTTTGCGCTTCATTTTCGAGAAATAACGTATGCAAAAAACCTTGAATTTCGTAGCGGCTTTCATTGAATGAAGCCGAAACAAAAGAAGCCTTTTGTTTCATCAAAACAATACAGCCCCCGAGAACTTGCATATTCATAACTAGCTTAAAGAAAGAGCATGTTTTTTGTTTTGAGTTTAAAACACCGTTTAGCAAACGTAAAATATCCTTGAACAAACTCACGCTACGGCAGAATTGAAGACAAAACCAAAGATACGTTGACATAGCCAAAAGTTTATACGAAAACGCTCCTGTCGAACGCTTTCGCGAAGGAGTGCCGCAGTTTTATTTCACGATAAAATTTAAGCCGCGTAATCGAATGTTCTCGTAGCACAGTCGGTTAGGCATTGGACTCGCAGTCAGACGGTCGGTACGGCTCTTTTTTAACAAATGTCTTTTTTTTCGCTCACCCTTTTTTTTTCCTTCTCTTTTTCAACTCGGGAAGAGGCAAAGCCATTTTCGAGAGTTTGATACGTTGACATCGCCAAAAGTTTATACGAAAACGTTCCTTTCGAACGCTAACGTGAAGGACTGCTGCAGCTTTATTTGACGATAAAATGTAAGTTGTATTAACGAATGTTCTCGTAGCACAGTTGGTTAGGCATTGGACTCGCCGTCAGCCGGTCGGTAAAGTTCTCTTTTTAAAAAATGTCGTTTTTTTTTTTCGCTCACTCATTTTTTGTCCTTCTCTTTTTCAACTCGGAAAAGGCATGGCCATTTTGAGAGTTTGGTACGTTGACATCGCCAAAAGTTTATACGAAAACGCTCCTGTCGAACGCTAACGTGAAGGACCGCAGTTTTATTTCACGATAAAATTTGGACTGTGTAGCTAACTGTCTAGCTCAGTCGGTTAGGCACTGAACTCGCAGTCAGACGGACGGGTTTAAGTAATTTTTTTAAAAAAATGCCTTTTTTTCGCTCACTCTTTCTTATGAAAATGTTGTAATTTTTTCTTTTTTTTTGAACTCTCAAAATAGCTTTGCCTTTTCCCGAGTTGAAGAAGAAAAGAAAAAAGAGTGAGCGAAAAAAGAACACTGTTAAAACGAACTTTCAGACCGTCTGACTGCCTGTTCGGTGCCTAACCGACTGTGCTTCGAAAACATTAATTAACATGGCGCGGATTTTATTGTTAAATAAAGCTGCGCAGTCCTTCACGTTAGCGTTCGACAGAAGGATTTTCGTGTAAACTTTTGGCAATGTTAACGTATCTTTGGTTTTGTCTTCAATCCTGCCGTAGCTCTAGTTTTTTCAAGGATATTTTACGTTTGCTTAACGGTGTTTTAAACTCAAAACAAAAAAAATGCTCTTTCTTTAAACTGGTCATGAATATGCAAGTTCTCGGGGGCTGTATTGCGGATGTTCACGGGCTATTTCGAAATGCGAATTTGAAGAATGCAGCGGGAAATAAAAACCCATAAAAGTGTCTTCAAGGAGAAAAAACTGGATCTGTAGTGGCCTAATCACTGAGTTCGACACACACACACACACACACACACACACACACACACACACAAAAAAAAAAAAAAAAAAAAAAAAAAAACAGTTGCACACCGATATAGTGACCTGTAAAATATAAACATATCTATTAATTTACTGTCTTCGAAAAAGGTTAAAATTAAACTCGCCTACCACGAAACGGTTTAAATCACTACTCTTGCGCGAACAACACACAAACAAACGCACACTCCCCCCAAAAAAATAACGTTTGATAAGTGAAGTACAGGTTTTTAAATATTTCTATTATTTACAGTCATGTGGAATTGCCTATTTGCAAGGAAATGACATTTACACAAGTCCGCGAACAAAAATGATTAAGAAACTATATGTATGAAGCTGGAAAATACAGAGAACTGATCAATATATTGTGCTCGAAATTCGTCAGACTGTTCATATTGAATAAGGAGAGAAAGCAAAGCAAATTTTACAGCAAGTTGAAATGAAATGAAAAGAAAATTTGAATGGAATGTTTTTAAAAAAATGTCACTGCTGCTCAGGAACAGGGGGTAGTGATCCCAATCTTTCCCTCAATGGAATGTTGGTTGCGGCGGGTGGTTCGTTGTTTCCCCAGATCCTGAGCCAGCAAAAGTAAAAGAACAATACAGAAAAAGGCAGTACAATAAGAAAGCAAAAAAACCAAAAAATAATTGTTATAGAATAAAATAAATCAGGTAAAAAGTTCACTGCGAAAAAAATAAAGCGAGAGTCAATAGTGGTGGTCGGTGCCTGCTTGGTAGGTGTGGTTGGTGATTGCTTGTGCGAGGATGGCTTGGTGGTTGAATGCGTGTACGGTGAAAGCTCTCTCACAGCAGTTTGCCTTAAAAAGAAACCAAAGAAAACAAATTATGGTTTGATAAAGACTGCGCCCTTCTGCAAAAAAACCTCAGTACGCTGTCCAATAAAAAACATAGATAGAAACCCTCACGATACAAATCTTTGACATAACTATCATACGAGTCGCAAGGCATACAAAAAATCAAAACATCTAAATTCTCAAATTGAAGACCTTAATGTAACAAAATATAAGGAACGAAAAACAGTTTTACACAAGAGAACTTGACCCCTCACCTGGCCCTGAATCTTAGGCCCTGTTTACAAGGAGATAGGGTAACCCTACTGCCAGGGTAACCCTAGCAAGAGGGTTAAAAGATAGCCCGGGTTTACAAGCAAAATTTACAGGTAGGGTAACCCTACTGCCCGAGACAACTTTGCACTCGTTACGCTTCGGTTAACCTTGTAAATAAAGCACGCAACCGACAGAACAAATTACAAAACCGGAAAAATATTATTTCCAGAGCAAACATATGACAAATTGTGAAAGAAATTGATATTTTCTTGGTCACAATTTGCTGACTGTGTCGGTACTGTGATAATGTTTTGCTTTTGGGAGCCAAAATAGAGTTGTCCCGGGTAGGCGAGTTGTCCCTAGCAGAGCATTTACAAGGCAGCTAGGGTTACCCTGGCCGCCTTGTAAAGTGTGAGTGCCAGGGTAACCCTCTTGCTAGGGTAACCCTAGCACTAGGGTTACCCTACCTCCTTGTAAACAGGGCCTTAGCTTCCCGGTCACTTTTATACTGTCTATATCACTCTTAATTCACTTACCTGGAAAAAATCCCATAAAGCGAGTACAAAGTAGCCAAGGCTTGACCACTTTGTTGTACTCAGTGCACTGTACTGTTGAAGGTGACTGGTCTGATGGCTTGCGGGACGATAGGGTATCAAATCACGGATTTTTTTTTGTTTTCTTCGCAGTTTGACAGATGCACACTTTCAGAAGTACTGAGTGTGGCTGGCGGTCTTAGCAGTCAATTTACTTAAGTGTTTCTTGGCGTTAATAAAATAAATTGATTCCTTGTTTGTCAAAGTGTTGGCCTTTCAATTACTCTGCAATAAAATAAAAAAGGGATAATTGAATTTCAGCAACTTAACTAACTATACGAGGAAATGAGATATGTGGCTGAAAATAAGTAGCATTTATCACCAGTATTTTGACTGTGGCCTTGTTTCAGGAAATGGGGAGTAAAAAAAAAAAAAAAAAAAAAAAAAACATTGATCAGTGAATAGTTCACTGGTAGGAAACCATTGGTTAACTTAATAATCCTAACCGGCATCATGAAAAGCATTTTGTTTTGTCTAGAACATCTGCTCCCAAGTGATTTCTCATCCTTGTAGCAGGATCCAGCTCAATGTGGCTTGGTGTAAGCTTTTCTTGTAGTAGAAGGGAAAAATGGGACTGATCCCAATGAAAAGCATCTTTCCACTGCCTCCAGACCACACTTTTGCCTTTGATATTCGAGTACCTTGATTTCTCTGATTTCTTGCTTTCCTCTTGTAATTATGTTATAAAATTTAATAAATGTATTGTTAAGTGTTGGTTTAATGCCTTAACATCAGACAGGAAAAAGTACATGTACATTTACAAACTTAAGGTGAATCATAGAGGGAACATCCAATTGGGTAAATTTATGGATTTATGTTAATTATCGGCAAATGGATAGTAGCATTTTACCTTGCAATCCATGATGAACATCATAGGACCTGTGTATAGATTTCTTGTCACAAAGTTGCTGGCTACAGGGTCTTTGTCAAAATGCAGTTTGATAAACTGGTGATTGCAATCAGCACCATCAAGGATACACCATGATATGCTATTTAAAGAAGACTTTGGAGTTAATCAGTGGCATGGTATCTATTTGACTTTTGACTGAGTTTTATATAATGCTTCTGTATTCCTTTTTTCCTTTTTTTTAGGTTGTGAATGCTGCTTAAGTTGTAGGCAATGTCACTACATGCGTGATCTTCATTAGGAAATAGGCTGTAAATGGTATGAATAGTTATATCTACTAGACATCTACTGACATCTATTATTGTTATCTTTTTTTGTACTCTACTTGTACTTGTTGATGAAAGTTAAGTAAGCTCTAATAGAATATGGTTTAAGTAGGAAATTTTGATACACTACTGTTTATCACTACAATCCTCTAGTAAATCTCACCATGTAATTTTTTTTCTCACATCTGTTCAATTAGCTGGTGGTAACTAACTTAAGAAAGGGCACATTGTACAAATTGTTAATTACTTGAGTTCTGTTTCTGTCATCTTCTGTACTCCCTTCCAAAACTTAAATAGATGTCTGTCGGGGAGAAGTGCCCTGAAGGAAATTGGGCTATTGGAAATCGAAATCCGCAATCACTCGGGAAAATGAACTGCAGCACGCGTGTGGCAAGTGAAGGCTTAGCATTACCTGTAAGGTTAACAGGTACATTTTACACTCTGCAGTTACAAAGTTAGGATAAAAAGATATTTTGTTTACTTGGATAATGGTGAAAAGGTTTTGTGGTCATAACAGTATACAAACCTCACCCATTAGTTTCTCCATGTGATCATGGGCTTCTCCCAACTCCACAAATGCAGCAAATTTGTGTTTTCCATTTCTCATTACCATCTCAAGATTTTTCCTGAAAATTTTATAGAAATGTATGTAAGGACTTATAACTAGCTCCAATGCACAGCAACAAAATGGGTTTATGAATCTTGCAACTCAAAGTGTATTTTTCCCAAGGTATAATAAAAACCATCACAACTGTTATTTGAGATTTGCCTTCCTTATAATAGAGCATTTTCAAAAATCTACCAGCCTCATAATGTACCTGAATTTTCATCTCGTAAATTACAAATCCTCCTCAGTAGTCTTCCTCTTTGAGGTTTCTTGCTTTTGCCTCCATCAAGCACCATTCAAATATCTCAGCATTCCACCCATCTTATTGTTGTACTCTGTTTTTGCACATCTTTGAAATGAAAACAGGGAAAAATGTGTTAGATTTGGATGTCAGATGTATATATATATATTTTTAACTAAACGTAGACATAGACATTGCCACTTTCCTGATTGTCTTGTTACTTGGCAACTTGATGAACTGCCTTAATGGGTCAAGAACATGTGGGTTCTTAGTGTATAAATCTATATACAAGCGGATAATCCTGTAATCAAGCCAAAAAGAATTTCAAGTAAAAGAAAAAACATTGAATAATATTACGTAATATCATTAATAATGATCTTTCATTTTTTGGTGTTGCTTTTGTGTGAAGCAAGTTTATATGTTAAAAAAGGTATAGGTTGGATGTTAGTCAGTATACTTTTTTGTTTTTTGGCTTTGATTTCTGCTTCAAGGGACTGTTGTGGTTGTCTTATTTCCTTTGGAGTGTTGATAACTTGAGGCTTAAGTCCATGTAACTTTAAATTACTCCTCACCCTTTTGAGGATGCATCAAAAGTAAAGAGGAGAGGGAAATTTCTTAGGATGCCACCTGTGACTATTCTTGCCAACACTTTGAATATTTTTGTTGTTGTTCCTGGAGGCATTCCATTTCTTTAGGAATATTTTCTTTTTTCATGGCCCAGAACATTGAATCAAGGTCTGCACTGTTCTCTTCATCGACCACCAGGGCCTCACTGTGATATTTGTTGTGCCAATATCTCTCCTTCTCCTCTGCATGTTTTCTTCTCACCTGTTCCTGAGCAACTTGGTCCACCAATTCCTCTCGAGACAAGAACCGTTTGTTGCATTTGGGAGGAATGACCTGCCTGTTAGCAATTTGTTTTTGGCACTGTCTGTTGAGACTATAGAGCCTGCTACAATTAAGGTATTGTCTAGCCGCCCTATACTTGCAGATTACTAGACAAAGGTCAGAAAACACTCTCGTTTATGGCTCCTTGGAACAATCTTTAAGGTCCTGAAGCTGACCTGTTGTGTTTGGGAATAGGGTAACAACTGCTTTGCCTTTTCCAGAACAAATCTAAGGCAGATGGGTAGGTTTTCCAACCATTGTAATAGGCAGGAGATTTGCCCTGTAGTTGTGCTGCCAGAATTTTTCAAAACATGCTTCAAATCAACGACAGAACCATGAGATTTAATGGTGTAGCTTGCCTGAAAAGATCGAGACAACTTCATGGACAATTCCAGGGTCAGGTGCTGAGAATTGAAGTCCATTTTTTTACATCTAGGAAAAATGTAATGTCCTGGGGCGACACGTTCCCCTGCCCAGGTTTTGGAAATTGAAATGTTTTCTAGAGTGAAACCAAACAATTTTCTGATTTCATCTTTGGACCTTTTAATATTTAAGTATGCAGCCTTGTCATTGTTTCGTGGTCCATGTTTCACATGCTTGACTCTTTCACCCCAGATATCTGTTATAATTGCACCCAACGTAATATTTGAAAATGAAGTTAACAATTTGCTTGTTCACGTCCTCAGCAAAAGGTTAGGCTCCCTTGAGCATATTCATAATTTGAAATGAACCTGCCACTAAGAAAAATTATGTATTTTAAATTGAGTTCCGGATACTGAAATAAACCACACATGTTGACATTCAATTTGTGTACCAAAGAAAGCTTTTGGATTTCAACTCACCAAATTTCCAATGGTGCAAACTTGAAACTTTGCCACTCTGGATCAATATCAGTACCTGGGCAACTGCCCACCTAACCCTCCCCTGACTCAACAACAGTCCAGTGACAAAAAGTTAAAGTTAATGTTGGGTTATGATATTGATCCACCACTCTTAACTCTTTTCTGATTTGCCTCACAGTCAATTTCACCACACACCTTCCTCTTGTGTGGCATTTCTGCAAAAATAATCCAGCTTAGGTTCTCCCAGCAAATCTGGCTTCAAATTTTTTCTGTTGTTCATCTGTTTTAATTTCACCTCGCTGTGTGATTGGTTGATCAGGACAATAGATTGAGGGGAGGTGTCTCTGTGGGGATGGGGCAAGTATTATACATCAATTGACCGTACCACTTGCGGTAGAGAGAAAACTGATCCGAAACCCAAGTCTCTTCCACAGTGGTGTTCTGCCTGCTTGTTCAAAGCATAGCTAGAAAGAAGTGAACTTGGTATTGCAGGCAGAAAATGTTCGTTTCCAGCAAAGTGCGCGGGCATTTTTGGTGTTGAGACATGTCCCAGGGTGCAATGATCTTAGATCATAATGCGGGAACCAAATTTCCGTTTCCAGAGACACCAAATAACTCGCTTTAGTTTTGAATTAAAGGTTTAATCCTCTCAAAGTGAAACCTCAAATCACTAGGAAAACACAACTCAAAAATCTCTGCTCTCTAAAAAAAACGTCCCTGATACGTATTTTTACGAGGTACGTAACTGGAACCGAGGCTCACAATTTCAAAACGAGGTTATCAGTCATGCAACTCCAAAAAAAGAAAAAACAGTCACGACAATAAAATGCGGCTGAGAAAAATGCTGATCAGAAGGATTTTTGGGGTGCAGGCCACCTCCATCCTCCATGTGGACAACAGTCGATTTCTGAGTGTGCAGCCTTGACTTCATCTTTTGACATGAATAACAGTGATGGGAAAGCAAGCTTAAAATAGCAGAAATCACCAGAAACTACAACGGACACACAGGATATGAGTAAGTTTTATTGATTTTTCTTGTAGAATGTTCTTATATGGAAATATCTATTGTTGTAAATCAACCACATCTTGTTCCTCATACTATGCCTTATAATGTGTTCAAATTTTCAACGGTCCCTCTTGTAACTTAACACCAAGTCACACAAAGCATGACGTGTTCATGAATTGAACATTAGCTTTTTCTTGATGTGCAAACAAACATGCAAGGTTTACAAAAAGTCATCACTAGAGAGAAAACTAGTTATAATTTAAATAAAATTAAAAAGGTATCTGTTAATAAAAGTTTGCTAAAAATGTTTCATGCGAATACGAGGTAAAATGTAGTTACGGCCGTGAGAATGGAGTGACCTTCCCCTCTGCTTGGGAAGTAGGTCACATAGACAATGATCGCAGTCTTAGGTGATCTAATCCCATAACAAATTATTTCTGGCATGAAGAATATCTTTAATGGGTGTAAAATTCCATAAATAACAATATTTGTGGACATGTTTACAGAACTTATCAATTTGGCTGAGGTATTTACATTCTAATGTGCTTTCCCAAACTTCAATTGCCTTAAGCCATTAAAAAGAGCCATTAATTCCTCCTGCAAATGACCATAAAATTTACAAACCCTTATTATGTATAGCCAAGAACTGGCTTTACATTGCAGAAGATCAAAATGAGTGTCCCAGTTACAGGGGTCTTGATTGAAGGTTCCACTTTCCACCATGCATCAGGCACCTGTTTGGTTGTTTTCCCTCTCAATACCATTTCCCAGGTCTTGCTTTGGTTAAGTTTCATCCTGTTCTTACAGGCCTATTGTTGGATATTTCCCACCTCTTGCATTGCAGTAACATTGCCTCAATTCCTCAATTAAACCACTCTCCACCAACAGAACTGACCTACCCGAGATTTCCTTTATCTGCAATAGATACATTTGTTATTTCTGATAACCTGAATGATGCCAAAAAAGCAATCCTTCAGACTCTTGAAGTTGATGAGAATTCTAATAAAAGCATTGAATCTGCCACAAGAGAGCAATCAAATTCTGATCTCAGCTAGATTCCAGCTAGTAAAAAAAGGCAAAGAAACCATGACAAGTTTCCTGCTGAGCTCACTGACCCAGTCATTCTCTTCCAGACATGTTGAGCATGGACTGAAATATAAACCAATTTCACTAAAAGAATACAAAAAATAATGTTAACCAGAAAGACTCCGGGTAAGGTTCTCAAGTGTGATCAAGTTATTTCACAACATTTGCCAATTCTTGCTGGCTCCCCTGATGCAAGACTTGTTGATTTTGGATGCGAGCAACACTTTGGACTTGCATAGGTTAAATGTTCAGAGACCAAATACCATGTTACACCTTTGGAGGCTTGAGAAGATCCTTCATTCTGCTGTGAAGCTGTCAATGGACAATGCAAACTCAAAAGAGATGGGTGTAACTAGAGCATCCTGGTGCGATTTCATTGTATACACCAAGAAAGGAATCTCTGTGGAAAGGATTGCCTTTGATCCTGCATACTGGGCAGAATTAAGGCAAAAGCTTTCATCATGTTATTTTGCCCACTTTAGAAAGCATGCATCAAAGGCCGTGTAAATACCAGCTTTTTAGGAGGTTTCCACTCTTGTTTCACCTATTCTATTGGGTGATCTTCACTTGATATTTGTAAATTTCTCAAGACAAAATTTGGTTTTGGTTTAATTTTTTCACTACTTTCATTTTGAATTTATTTCGCTTCATTTCTTGTCAATGAATACAAGACAATAAAAAATAAGAGTCAACCTGGGTTGAAAATCTTAAACAAAAGATGAATTTAAATTGCAATACAAACTTTTGATTGGAAGGTCAACTTCCCTCCTTGTTTTCTTCTCATCTATTCTATTTTCTGGGGGCTACTTTCTGGTTTTCACCATTTTTGAAAGGCTGCTGCCTACAATATTAATCATTTTGAAAATGGAATACAATTCAATTATTGCCCTTATTTTTTCCAAACTGCATTATTAAAATATGTCCTGTTTCAGGATATTATGTTATATAACTGAAATCACTGTCCTAAATGATAACAATGTGTCACTTAAATGTCTGGTACGTATTCTATAAACCAAATTGGAACTTGTCTTGGAGGACCAGTCAGATAGTTTCTTTCTAGCAGGGACCAGGCATTTCAGTCTGTGGGCTGTTCAGGTATGTAGCCATCACAGAGAAAACTAAAGGTTCACCATGCACTTATGATAAGATCTTGAAAATTGCAAAGTATCACAAACACACACCACATTTGATTTACTATTCCAAACTGACTTAGTGGGATAACACCCTCAAATATTAAAAAGATCTTTACTTTGTTAATAGCCCTTTCCACATGTATTCGCAAGCCAACAACTTCTAGTGTTTTGATAACAAATTCACCTGACATCTGGTCAGACATTCCAAGGAAAGGAGGGCTGTTAAGGGACACTCCAAGGTAGGAGAACATCTTCGATTGAAAAACCCTTGTCAGCCATTACAGAGTCTCCCTGTTCAAAGGGTAGTTTAAAAAAACTGCTGCGTTCAACCATTTCTCTATCAGATCTACTGCCAGTGCATAATTGACTTATAAATGTTATTGACCCTATAGACGACGCACACCAGCAATAGGTTTTCACTTCGATTTAATGTCTCACCATAGTTACGTAATTGCCAATGTGGTTTCTAAATAGATGAATAAAATAAAATTACTCGGGGAAATCGAACACAAGGAAGCATAAACTAATAAGCAAACACAACTAGAATAAAGAACGTACCAGACGTGACGGGATAAGGGCTGTAGAAGCAAAACTTGACGGTGAAACTTGGCTGACAACGGACAATTGATAACTAACTCGAACAATGTGACTCACAGACTGAATAATAATTTAGCATGCAGAGCGCAAAATAACTAATGTTGACGAGGCGGCCTGGGTTGAGGGATGGTTTTTACAGACCCTTTAGGAGAAATGCTCATCAGTGCTTTTAGGGTGGTATGGTTCTTGTAAGAGCCAAATAACTCACTGTTTAATAGAAGACTGCTAGGCATCTGACAGCACACCTCGGTGCAATTGATTATTACCCTTGTACTGGGATACTTTTCTTTGAAAGCTTCAGGCATCAATTCATCTACTACTTTCCTGGATATTTTAAAAAATTGTGCAAGATGAATTTCAGCAAATCCTTGCCTCAGTCTGCAGATTACCAGGAAAAATTCTTCTGATGGTGTTAAAGTCCTTGGCCTTCCTTGCCTTACTGAATTACCAGCAGCAGCCTTTTGTGAGTCATCTTGGCTAGACAACCAGTATTTTTTTTTTCCATTGACACCAGGATCTAAATATTTATACAGAGCCATCATTGTTTGAACATTTGGAAACCCAGTATAAAATGTCAACAAAGAGTCATCTGTTTTGATGTTGTCAAATGAAAACACAATCATGCTTCTCTTTCTTGCATTTTTTCTCAAGAGGAGCAATGTTTCCATTTAGGGATAACACCTCGCTCTCTAACTTTTTGTTAATTTCAATACTTGAGGCTAAAAGTTTCTAGTTGTGCAATTTCCAGATTTTCTTTGGACTGCATAACAAAATTTGTTGAAGATTGCAGTTCTTCAATTTCCAGTGCAAGGTGTGAATTGGATGAGCTTCCTGATGTCTCCAAAATTTTGCTCGAACTGGCAGTTTCTGCAACAAGTCTGGGTTGGGTCACTCTTACAAAAATAAAAACCCACAATGTTAAACTGGTTGAAAAATGCCTAAAGGGAATCACCCCAAGTTATTTCTCCAAATATTTTCAAATTAGAAGAAATAATAGTCATCATCAGTTGAAGTTGTGAGCACTGTCATGGCTGCTGAAGCGGGTTTGAAGCTCCTTATTTTTCACTATGTCATTGTGCTATTAGTGATCGACTTGCCTTCTGAATGCAATGGAAGGGTCTATTTACCCAGGTTCAGTAGTAAACACTTCGCCGCAGCTTAATTATTCAAAATCAAAACTTTATTTTCTTAAAAAATTCTGGTCACTTAGCCCAGAATCTGCACTACATCTCAAAACATTTGGAATTTTCAGAAGCTGTGGCTCAATAGGGGGTTGCAGAAATCACCATTCTGAAATATTAGGGACAGTTGACTGTATTTTGAATATTCGCTTTGTCCACTCATGCTGATCGATAAGACCAACAAGGAAAACAATGCAAGCGGAAAAATGGCTCTGTACACTGACTTCCATGAATATAAGTAAATCATTTTGATACCTAGAATTGTTCCAAAATGTCTTGCGATTAATGCCCACTTGCTCATGAAACCAGACACAGTCTCTGCCCTTTATGCTGAACTGCTAACAGGATTGATACTTGTTTTGTTTCTCAACCTGGCTGCACAAGAATGTTCTTACAACTGTGTTGTAAGGTTTCCAGTGACATTAATGAAAAAATCGTTGAGATGCTCTGCTTTCATTAAATCATCAGTTATTAGTTTGTTGTTGTTGTAATCCATAACTGGGACAAAGTTGGTAACTTTGTTTTTCCTTAGTGCCTGGTTTGTCAGTTCCAAACTTTTTTAGGATTGGTTGATTTGTTAAATTGATTATTCCAATAAGCTGCCTTGACCTTCTTTAACAGATTTTTTTACCTCATTTCTTTTTTTCTATGCTGACTCCATTTCACTGAATCCCCAGGGGCTTTAGCCTCATTTAAGAGCTTAAATCTTTAATTTGTTCATTCCTTTCCTAATGGAAAAGTCAATCCACGGGAGGGATTTAGATCCGATATTTGTTTTGCTGGATGTTAAATGGTGTTCTTATATAATGTTGTATAAGTAGTTCCAGACGAAGGGGCAATCATCTATATCATCAAACAAATTCACAAGATGCCAAGGAGCATGCTCAAAATTTGTATTAATTTGTTTTTTGTCCACTTGTTTATATTTCTTTGTTGAAATCACAAGTGGCTTGGGAGTACTTCTAACCACTTTAAAAACAGCAAAAATCTAATAGTGGTCAGATATTCCTAATGCCGTGTTTACATCCAAACATTTACTGTGGTTTAAATTGACCGAGGTCAAGTTAACTGAACATAAGTAGATTAGTGCAGTGTTTATACTGCCTCAAATAACCAAAGTTAATCTGTCAACACTGCCAAAAATCGAATTGGAAGGAAATACAAGCTAATGCGCGCAATTTTAAAACATGGTCGGTATTAACAAGAAAGCGGTGGCTCTGATAGTCATTGCCTTTTTCTTTTTAATTCTTGAGAAGCAAGTAGAAGCATCTCGATTAAGGCAACTGCTAATACTACAACACCTCAAGAAAGTGAGGCGAAAATGGATGATTTTACTGCAACTTATGCAGCGAAATAGCAGGCAAGCGAGACGTGCTTGGTCCTGGCCAAGGAACCAATTCTGGTTCGAAAACCGACTAAACGGGTCTTTTGTCGAAGATTGGTGGAAGGAGAACTTCCGAATTACAAGACGTACCTTTCAGTCTATTGTCCGTGTGGCTGGTCCGGAGATGGCGAAGAAAGACACCAAACTGCGGCAATCTATCCCAGTGCACAAGCGAGTAGCGCTAGCATTATGGCGGCTAGCAACGGGCGACACATACCGATCTACAAGACTACAATTCGGTATTGGACGGTGCACGGCCATGTTAATAAAACAGGATTTTTGCAATGCTATTGCTAAACATGCTAAAGAATTCATCAAATTTCCAGAAACCGAATAGGAGGTGCTACAAAGTATTAGATTGTTTACAAACAAGTCTCCATTTCCCCAAGTAGTAGGGGCTATTGACAGTTGTCATATTGTGAAAACGGTAAAAAACGTTCTCTGGTTAAAAAGGTTTTAAAATATGAGCTTTCGGCTATTATACTATAGCCTTTAACGAATGTAAAAAATATAAGCGCGTGAATGGAAATATATACAGGGGAGGGTGTGAAAAAATTAAAAACTAAAAAATACAATAGAAGTGTTAAAAGCTAAAAAATGGACAATAGAACAAAATCAAATTACAATAAGATAGAATATTGTCTTGGTAACGGTTTAGAGTTATTGTCTGCGCCGACAGTTTTTACGGTATGCCAAGATTCTAGTGTTTTTCGAACACGGTGATTGCTTTTGTCTATCATGGTAGCGCCCTCAAAGTCAATCGCGTGATTGTTTTCCCATGCATGGTTGGCAATGTTCGAGCCACTCGTATAGTTTTTAAGATTTCGTTGATGTTCCTTTCTTCGGGTTTTAAAGCATCTGCCAGTTTCTCCTACATGACTCCAACAGCAGTCAGAGCACGGAATTTTGTAGACAACATTGCATTGTAGATCTAAGGGCTGCCTGAAGTTAGGTGACGGAAATTCTTGTTGCAGGGCTTTTAGCTGGTTTGCTAACCACACGAATATCATTTTTACGAAGTAATCTGGTAAGGGGCTCAGTCAGGCCGCTGATGTAGGGAAGACAAGCGAAACCCAGAGATGTGTCTGATGGATGGGCCCATTTGAAGAACATGGACACTAACTCTTCTGGTGGAGGAGTTGTCGGAGCTGACTTCTTTTTTAAAATGTTGGAAATAACTATTGATGGGTAGCCATTAGCTTTTAAGGCTTCGGTAACGTGGCTAGTCTCACGTCTTTTACCTTCAATGGTGCTTGGAAGGTTGGCTGCACGGAATAGAAGGGTCGAGGCCACACAGACTTAATGTTTTAATTCATGATGTGAAGAAAAATCCAGATATCTATCTGTGTGTGTCGGCTTCCTGTAAACATCAATGCTAGTAACACCATTTTTCCTGGAAACAAGCGTGTCCAGGAAAGAGATTTGACCATTGTTTTCTTCTTCGATAGTAAAAGCGATTTTGGGATCAATGGAGTTTAAGGCGTCATGGAAGGAGGAGACAGCATCGTTCTTGATGATAACAAAGCTGTCGTCAACATATCGTTTCCAAACCCTTGGTGCAACTGTAGAGGTATTGATGGCTAATTCTTCAACTACCTCCATGCAAAGATTAGCGACGATAGGGCTTACAGGGCTGCCCATGGCACATCCGTGGACTTGCTTGTATATACAGTTATTGTAGACAAAATAGTTGTTGGAGAGTTCCGACATTTCCGTTGACTCACTATCGGGGATGTGAGAGCTTTCGAGCACGTGGCGTGGGTTGATGGATTTCCTTTTACCAAGAATTTCATCCATATCGTTAGAATGTTTCGGTATGATCTCCTCACTTTCTTCACTTTCATTGTTGGATGGCACATCGCCCCCTCTGCCATATCCTGTCGACCGAAGCTTGTCTTTGGTGTTTTTATACAAAATTTGTCAAATTTGCCAATTTGTTCTTGCACTGTTGTGGTGTTTTGTCACTGTCTACGTTTTGTTCCTTGCACCACGAGTGAAGCTGGCGAGCAATCGACAGCCATTCAGGGGAGCTGAAGGCTTTGTATCGCAGCTTATCTTCATTTTCTCCAAACAGCTCCACCAAGATCTTTTCTTCAGTGTCTGTTCAACAATTTTTCTTTTTTGGACCAGTGCTTCTACTGCTGCTGTGGCTGTTCTCTTGCAATTGCGAGCCAGGCAGATCAGAATGGGGTAGTATTGAAGATGAGTGAATTTCTTGCGCTCCTTGTGATTGAGAGCCATAGAATGGCGGCACAGCATATTGAGGTTGCGGGTAGTAAGGGAAATATGTCGCACTCATTCAGAATATTGTTGCTGTGGATCTTGCCTGGAAAAAAACGGAAAAGAAATAAATAATCTGTTTTATCCGGATAAAAAAAAGGGTGAGTGGAATGAAGGAGAGACATAATACATCGCTTACCTTTCGGTTTGACTGCCATAATAATTCAAAAATGTGTCCTTATTTTGTTCTATTTTGCTAAAGCACGAAACGTGGCGCAAAGAAAGCCTGACTCTGCGAATAAAACATGAAACTTGTCAAGGAAACTTGAACTCGCGATAAATCAAAAAACTTCACTACAACCGGATGTATCTGTCAATTTGACCTCGGTTACCGAGCTAAACCAAGCCAAATCACTGCATCATTATCGCTTTTACCGTGGTTAAATTTCCTTTGTCTTTTGCTGCATTTACTGAGGTATTAATTGATGTTTACATTGACCAAAAATTTACCCAGGTAAGTAAACTCTTTTACCGCGGTAAAAATCCCAAGTGTAAACACGGCATGCTGGTAAGTCAATGGAACCAGATGTTTGAACTTTCACTGGCTGACTTGTTACAATCTTCAGACAGTAGCTGCACAAACTCCTTTTGAAATGTCTCCCCAAATGAGGCTCATTTGACTCTAGGCTGTGAGACATTCACATCACATTTAGCCCTATCCCAGAAGTGTCCCAAATTTAAACTGCAAAATAGCTAGTTCTGCTTTTAAAATGATTTTAATTTATTTTCAAATAAGACAGGTCTACAATGATTTTAATTAGAAGGCAAAGAGTGATTTTGACACTGCAAATAAATGTAATTTATTATTTGGAATGTTATTCAAAAGTGGTGTCACTCAGCTGCTAGATTTTGCACCACTTGATCAGTCTGCATGGCAGCCCTTCTCTCTTTTCTTCTTTGCCTTTGCTCTGTAGCAAGGAAACAAATACACATAAATCACTTTGTGACATGTCAATTAATTTTATCAGTTTTTCCTCATAATTCATTAAGAAAAAATTGGTTTCATTTAACTAGTCACTTTCTTCCCAAGTACATTAAGATTCCACCAGTACGTGACTACCCTGTTATGAATACAAAATGGCACTTGCAGGTGGATTAGATTGAAAATTGAACCAGTACAGCATTATGTATGTACTCTTACTCCAAACCAATAGAGGAGCATAGTTAGTGTACATGCATTCATTAATTAAAATTAAATCCCTCAAAAACCAGGGTACTGTAGTTGTTATGCAGATTGGCTTCATTGTCCTTAGTAAGAATTGCAGACTACATATAATTATAGACTGAGAGAGATGTAATATTGCAACACTTGACTTACCATCTTTCCGAATCAAATTATTCAGCTTGGTCCTGAGGGACTGCAATATTGCAATATGTTGAAAGAAGTGCAATCATGACGATGTAAAGGTCCAAGAAAAACTAGGAACTGAGCTCACTAAGTAAATATAGTTCTTTTATCGGTGCAGTGATAAAATTATCCTAAACATCACCAACTTGACCAAGTTCCCAGTTGAAATCACCAGACCTGACCCTTCTTAACTGGTACTGCCAGCTAGTATATTGATGTAATGTTACTGATTTGCTGATATTTAATTGGGGAACATCCTGATAATTATGCAATTGTGGCTCCATTATTCAAATGGTTACTTACTGATAAAGGCTTGCTTTAATAATTGCAATAACTATCTGAAGTTTTTGTAATGGCTCATTATAAATACCATTTTTAGTAGAACCAATATATATGTATATCTTAAATACCAACCAGCAATAGTGTGCAGAATGTCTTGGTCCAGTTCATGGAGCCTTTTGCCCTTTAGCTCCTCTTTCTTGTAGAAAAACATCAGGACCATCCTGGCAAAGGCTGTTTTTGATTTGGCATCTTTTTGTGCCACACGCAATCTAATAGGATTGATCCACACTCCATTGCCTATTTCTTCCCACTGTGAAGAAAGAAAATCTACCATTTTTAATGTGGCTACATAATGCAAATGATGGATGGAAGATTTTATGACAAACACCAAGGTGTAAATTGACTAGGTAATTAAAAAAGGAACATTGGAGCAGGCCTGAGGGGAGGGTGCTTCCCTATTTGCCTTTTGTTTTGTCAGTTGCTGTTATTAATGGCTATAAGTTAAAGGCATATATATATAAATCATTTACCTTCCTTTTAAATACCTCTTGTCTGGTTACTTTCCCATACCTAAGGATATCCTTATCCTGGTTATACACCCCTCCTGGATTTGGAGTTAACTCTTTAGCCACTGTCAGATTAAAAGAATAACATAAAAAAATTATTATAAATTTTCTTAGAATCAGATGCCATCTTAACACTAAATAATATTTGTCAATTAGTATAACTCTTCATTCATTTTGATGCATCAATGTCCAAACACATCAATAGATAAAGATGTACTTCACTAATGCTAATGGGTGTTTTCACAACTGCTTTCTCTGAACATTATTTTTCAATCCTTGTAAGCCCTGGATATAAGTTGCTCCATTGTTTAGTGTACTCAAATCCTGTCATGTATTTGTATACATGAAAGTTTTACAAGCAAGATTTTGTGGTTATATATATATATATATTATGAGAGGAAAAAAGGATGCAACTACATTTCCTGACAAGCCTGTTTCGTGGATCACTTCACTCTTGAGGGGTTTAATGAAAGAATATTCATGTGACTATCGTGTATATACTAGGAAAATTTACATAATGCACGGTAAACTTAAAAACTTTAAAGTTCAGGTGTTGCGTAGCAACGCTTTGTTTCTGTGTTGGCATGAAGATACGAGTTCATTACGCTTATTTAGTGATGAGAGGTCGGGTCGGTAAATTATCAGGAATTTTTCTTATAGGCAGAGGTTGCATCTTTTACTGGAGCTGTTGTAGGGAGAGTTAGATGATAAGACGCGCCATGAAATAGAATAGTCAATGTTGTCGTTCTTGAGTGTCCAGATGTGTTTGCTAAGTTTGGTAGAGTTTTTGTGCTTGGCTTGGCGGAATGATGTGCTGTGATTTCTGTGTCTTGTTTTGAAGTTGGTCGGTTCAACTCACAGAAACCGTGTCAAAAAGGCCAATATATTGATTTGGGACTAAGCCAGCTTGTCAAGTTAGCGAATGCTTGAATTGATCAATGTGATACACCATTGTCTGAGCAACTTTCATTGTAATTATCCTTTTGGGGTAGGTAAGTCATTTAAGTTGGAGAGTTCTTCCAATTACATCCAGTTCTGAATGGCTATGATGGAGGTATGTTCGTGTTCCATTTGGCGATCAAGGCACATTTCAAACCTAGACCAACCTACACACTGGTGTAGCTGTCCCAACGCAATGCTGCAATAGAGCTGTTAGAGTCTGAGTAGACCTAACCAAACTCAACCACCAGGTGACAAAGGAACTTCTCACGACCTGACCAAGGAACTTTTCAAACAAAGTGATTCCAATCTTTGTGGTAGTGGTCATTTCTGGGCAACTCACTTGTGTGTTGTTAAAAAGACCTTTGATATACTTATGGAAGAGTGGTGAAATGAAGAACTTCTGAAGTTTAGCAGAGCAGCTTGTGAAACCTGCACATGAGATGGTTGCAATGACTTCATCAGGGTTTTTGATAATATGCTCTTTAAAAAAATTTCGTGGAAATAAAACCGAAAAAGATCGACAAAGGCTGTTGCCTTGTCTTGAAGATCTTCTTCCAACAACTGGATACAATTTCTTTTGTCCCTTGCAAACTCATTCAATGGCTTTGCAATTTTCATTGATGCAAGGCTTCCCAATTAGGCTTCAGCAATGCGTTATAAACCTGGAAAAACCTGTACACTACTCGGTTTATAAAAAATCCTGTCTTTCTCTTATCAGTCATTTCCTCTGGGTAAAACCTAAGTTTGGCAAGGAGGATAATGTGATGTAAATTTGAAAGTAGCTGGTGCTTGCTTGAATGCCCAAAGGGCATAGGTTTTAAGAGGTGTGCAGTGGTGCACTCTCTTAAAAAGGTGAGTAGTGTTGTTTCAGAATTATTCTACTCATTGTTGTGCACAGTTATTAATTACATGGTTATCTAAGTATGGATAATTTTAAAACAGAAAAGTGTGACTTTACTGGAGTCACAGGATAGCGAGTGACCAGGAGCATAAAACGAACGCACAAACAACAGACGTATAACAAAGTTTTTCAACCAACTTACAAATTTATTCTTACGATAATTGACGGTAGCGAAGATAGTAGCGATGGCTTTAAAGCACAACAATAGCGTGATACAATTTGATGTGATGTGGTTCGAACTAAAAGGAAATTAAAAATAAACCTATGTAACTTACATTATACCGTATATCGATTGTGCATAACGACCATGAAATCAACTAAG